ACTCATTAAATGCACGTGAGATCAAATGATCGATGGCGACTCCTCAAACTATTTTCACGCCAGAAGACTCGGACATCTAGCTTCTAGATTGCAAATCAAATGTCCACAAGACTATTTGGCGCGAAAATATTTTGAAGCGTCATTGATTTGATCTCGCGTGCATTTGATGGGTTTACAACATAATTACATTTTTGTCTCAATTTTAACGGTTCTTTAATGAATTATCTAAGATTGGCTAATAGAGGTAAACATATGGACTAATTCAGTCAATATGAGAACATGATGACCAAATTGACCGATAGGGTGAAACATATGAACCATTTGACATTTAAGCCTTTAAAAATTATTTTTAAATGATTGTTATGATAATTACCCTAAATTCACTTAAATACGAAAAAAGAAATTCAAACTTAATTGTAAAAGGTGAAATGTTACACGCTACTTAAGCTAATTTGGTTAAACTCATATTTACACTTTTTTTAAATGAAAAATATGCCAAGTTTGAATCACCTTTTCAGTAATTAATTTTTTTTTTTTAAGAATCTGCTTTCATACTAAGTATCTTGTTTTCTTAAATGATAAATAGTAAAGCTTGAATCAAAAAAATATATTAAATTGTAAAAAAAATTAAAATTCCCTCAAAATTGCACCTTGCCAAGTGCTTGAAGATGTTTTTAGTATGCCAATAAATGACAAACCACACATTAAATTTCTTTAAAAAAAACATATATAAATTTGCACAAAAACGGCTAAAATTATACTTGCTAGTTCACATATTTAATAAAGGGATGTGCTATCCACATACCCCTTTTTACTTCTCACATATCTTTTTAATTTTTTTTCATCGATCGGATGAGTTGAAAAAGATTAAATGACACAAATTAACAAAAGGTGTATGAGAAGTAAAAAATAATATGTGGATAGCACACTCCTATTAATAGAGTGAAAGTAACATAAAAAAATGGGGCGGTGGGCACCAAAGAATCTTTGGCTTGTCAATTGCTCTTTTATTTTCGTCCTCATAATAATAAAAGAAAATTAATAGAACGGTGTTATTTCTTCTTCTATTACACATTTTTATATATTTGATCATCGATTTAAATAAATCAAACAATAACCAGAACATAATTAAACATAAATGTGAGCTGAAAGAAAAAGATGCGTGTAATTATTATTTTTTAAAAAGTAATGTAAAAGAAAACAAAAAATTTACCCCCAGAAAAAAAAAAAGGACAAAAGAGCAAGGACCGACCGAAAAAAGAAAAAGTTTGATGGGCTGGGTATTAGATTAACAGAATTTGACGATCATGATTTGCTGTGTTAATTGGACCCCACGGAATCACATCACATCAATGTTGGGCCCACAACTGCCCATGAGTCCCAGTCAACTTCCGCCACCATGGGAAGAGAGAGAGAGTTTTACTACTATTTACCTCAGTAAATAACGAGTAAGGATTCCTGATTCACTAATCATATATGTTCATCTTATATCATACGGTCAGTTTTTATCAAGTATTGTTTATATTCAATTTTAAATAAAAAAATTTACAATGATTTTTTATTGCATAATGTACGATGAACATATGTGATTGGAGGATTCCCAGGATCCTCATAACGAGGATCCAACAAGAATCCTCCTGGGTAAATAACATCCCTTACGCAAGTTACCAATGGGCTTGTTACACATTTTCATCTATTTTTTTTGGACTGCTATCCATGCACTAATTTTTATTTTTCATTTATTTATTTGTTTATTAATTTTTGTTGTTTTATTTATTTTTAATTTATTTGATTGACGACTAAAAATTAAGAACAGTGTGCGAAAAATAAAATAAGTGCATGGATAACCAATATTTTTTTAATAAATTTTATACTTTATGAGAAATACTTCCACTAATATGTGCTTTATTTTTCTTCGCCTTTGTATGAATTTTAGATTGTTTTTAGTTAAATTCATCGACACAAATGTGATAATTAGTCAGTTTGGAAAAGATAGAATGAAGAATAATCGAACTCCAACTTGAAAAAAATGTAAAAGTTAAGTAAGTTTGGATCAAAACAAATATTGGTTCAATCTCATCATATATTGACATACTCATAAAGGGACATTTTATAGTGGTAATTCGGATTTGAATGTAGAGATTTTTAACGGTCGGTGGCCGTGTTTGCTTTATATTCGTAGATGTATGTGCGTCATATTGGCTTGATATGGCAATAAAGTTCATATTTTCAACGCCCAACTCGTTTATTGATTAGAAAGTGTCAAAAACTTTATTTCTAACCGTCGGTTTTTTATAATAGCAACAGACAATCCACGCTTTCAATGCGCAAACTCATTTATAAAAAAACTTTATTTCTAATAGTAACGGCATCTACGTCCCGTCGTTTTTTGATAATTTCAATAGAAATTTGCATTTTCTAGGCACAATTCGTTTTTCGACTAAAAAGGGCCAAAAACTTTATTTCTAACCATTAAATGCATTTGTGTCCCGTTGTTTTTTATAATGTCAATAGACAATCCAACATTTCAATGCAAAACTCGTTTATCAACTAGAAATTGCCAAAAGCTTTACTTCTAACCATAAAAGCATGTGTTTCCCGTCGTTTTTTACAATGTCGACAAGACAATCCACACTTTCAACGTGTTAACACTTAAAATTCGGAGGTCAACAAAGACTAACATGGTCTACCCTTGATGGGCTAGGGATAAAGGCCTTACGTAATTGACAACAAGGTTTAAGTGGTTCCCCCTAGAAAATGGGCTCCCTCCACTATAGTGCTTTATATATATTGATATGGAATACAAAAAAGGGCTATGTAATTGTGTAACCTATCTTTTCTTTTCTTTTATGTGTCTAACCCCTTATACAATGTGCTCGTCCATCTTATATACATCTTCAATGAGCCCTAAATGTCTTGGGCTCTTAAGTACTTCACTGCTCTAACATCAAAAGAACTAATCACGTAGACAAAACTTTCCATCTACCCTTTTGTCATTCAGTCAACACGTGGAGATGAAGTGACATTTGCTCAGGTCTAGTTGAAAAGTTTGTTGATCCAACATGTACTATGTTCGGCCTTGACGGGTCAAAGAAATACCATCCCAAGCACTTGGTCTAACAACTTTTTTATATCTCATCGTATGCCTCTGTCCTGGTTGATGACCAACACGTGGCTTGGGTTGGTGTTTGAATAGGCTTGTCTCTGGGACTTCATGCCATAAAGTTGTCAATTTGCCAACTTGCCTCAAGCGTTCGAAAAGTACTTTCTTGATTGGTGCTCGGCTTCTTTGCTAATAGTTAATCCAGATCGGTAAACTATCGTCCATAGAGGTCATGCCTCCTTCCTTTGGCTCTATTGGGCTGGCTTATAAGCCCAACGCCTTGGTCTTCTTTTTCTTTTTTAGGCCTTCTCCATGCTTGTATTATTTTAAGGTCTAAAAGAATCATGCGTTAACACAACACACAACTCGTTTATTAACTAGAAGGTGCCAAATTTTTTATATGAATGACTTATCAGTGAAGTCCAAATGAAGAATATAAGAATATCGTGTTCAGATGACCAGATCACACGACCTTCCCACCTAAGACACAACAACACCCAACCTCCCTCTTATGCCCTATTAAATGTGTCTTCTACCAGACGACCATGTTGTTTCATCACCCGAACCGAACAATTTCTACCCTTTAGAGATGCTTTCGACAAGTATATTGCACTCCCTAATCCAAACCAACTTTCAATGGTTGGAACTTGTCAAAGCTAGCCGTTGGACAAAGTCATAAGCGCTGCACAAAGCATGGTGCTTCCCCGTAACCCATAAGCTAAATTGGTTAAGCAGAAACATGGAATCAAACCAGCACGGCGACACTGTTGGAGCTCTGTGCATTGAGAGAAATAAGGATAAAAGTTAAAAGCTCCCTCTCAACTTTTAACTTTTAACTTTTACCAAACGCAGTGCAAGGACTTGATTGCGTGCTGCCTCATATTGGTCTGTTTTTTTCTTCAAGTGATTTGGTTTGGTGGGTAGACGACAAGAGAGACCCCCTCTTTCCATATCAAGAGATTCCTACTCTACGAAGATGCTTTTACTTTCTCAGGTTAATGTCGCATCGGAAGTAATTAGTGAAGTTAATTGTCCGTTTTAGTCGCATTTTATCAACAGCGTTTACTTAGGGGCATGATTAGGCTTAATTAATTCAACATCATATGGTGAGTGCAAAATGACTTGTAGCTTGTGCGGTTAAAAGTTTTATACGTACAGTCAAGGGGTTGTGTCTTCGAATCATTCTTTTTCAATATCGGTTGCATCACAAAAGTAGAAAGAAAATTGAAAAGTTTGTTTGGCGTCAACAAAATTTACATGCAATCATGATACTAAGATAAGGGTATATTCTAAGCTTATAAGACTTGGTCAAGTGTCTTATCTTCTTCACATGACATTCAATGCTAAGTTTGAAATTCCGCCAACTTAACTCCTCAGTTATATAGCCACCTTAGCATCCCTGTCATATGGGCTTCCCTATAGATATTTTTTTTGCTTTTACATGCAATTCCTTTGTAATATTACACCTATAGGAAAACACTTCAAACTCAATATATTACAAGAAAATCCAACTTATTGTGTAACATTGAAGAAAATTCATAACTAATAATCAATCAGAGTATGACAAGTGGATTTGTCGGGGTATTTGCCTTCAAGTCATATTGGGCTTTTGTTCTTTTGAATGGGCTTATGCCTTAAAGTCATGTTGGGCCACGGGCTTCGTTGAAGAAGTTGAGGCCTTAAAAAAAACAAATCCGCACAAAATATAGGCGGGAAAGAGTGAAGCTCCGTTTGTACAAGTCCGAAATGAACGACATGTCGTTCGTATATTCCGAACAAGATAAGGATCATTGCCTTATACTTTCTTTTTTCTGCAATCCGGGAATTCTGTGATCGTGATGGTTCATAGTATATCATGCAATCAATTTTCGTTATTATTTATATTTAATTTTAAATTTTAAATTTGAAACCGATATATGATGAAGGCTCATATCCGGATCCTCGCTGGATTCGTTTCCCAACAGAACACCCTTTTCTCTGTATCTCTTTCCTCGATGTAACTTTCTGCAATCAACTGAGCCAGGGTTTCCGAGTTGCCATGGCCGATTTCCAGAGCTCGACTCACCGAGCCAGGTGGATCTTCACTCCCGAAGAACTGGTAATTCGTCTCCGTATTATCATTCTTCTTTGCACTTCTGATTTTTGTATTCAGCGAGGGCCTGTTTGGCTGCCGAGAAAATGAAGGAAAATTGAGTTTCTAACTTCTAGGTTAATTATTGCCACCGTTGCTCTTGGTTTCGATTGTTCCTGAAGGTGAACTGTTGCTTTTAGTTTCGTGCTGTTGAATTGGTGCCCAACTTATAAAATGGAGCAACGTAGATGAATTTAAATGGAGAAACTTGTTTGAGTTGGGATTTCAATATTTGCAAGGGTTGAAGTTGAATCGAAATGTCGTATGCTTTTTTTGATTTGATTTGCTTTAGATTTTCAATTTTATAGGCTGGTAAATACAAGGCTGCTAATCAAAGAGCAATGCAAGCATTGGAGAAGGTACGTATGGAGTCTTGCTTTCGTTGGGAGTGTGTTTATAGACCGGTATAAGTCGTTGCAAGTGAGTTTTAGTTTAATCGAAGCATGTCATTAATATTCTTCATGCGAACGTGGTTTATAGCTGTTTGTTTAACTTATTTGCTGGTATGAGAGCGTATGTACTAATGCATCGAGTGTACCTTATTAGATAGTTTAAGGAGACGTTTACTAGCTCAGGTGACTGGCGGAGGATGTGTTGATTGAAATTAGGGCAATGTCTCAAATTATTGGTTTAAAGATATCATTATACCTTTCTACCAATGCATGTGTTTTTGTATGTCATTTGTAGTATTTCTTGTCCAAGATGTTCACATTTTGTCCCATAGGAAAAGAGTTATTTTTCTGCAAATTGGCTTGACTAATGGAAGTAGACGTTGATGGAACATTGTCATACCCGAAACCCCAAGTTAATGGTAATGTTCTTTCAAGGACCCCCTCCGTCCCTCCCCTCCCCCCGCCTTTTACACACACATAGAGGTGGGTTTCAATGGCTTTACTTTTTTGATGTCTTTAAATACAGCCGATTCCCGTCCAAAACCCATTAGCATTGAAGAGGAGCAATTTATGCGAGTATTTTATGAGAACAAAGTTCAAGAAGTTTGTACCAACTTTCACTTTCCGCATAAAGTTCAGGTATGCGGTCTCCCCTGTTGACAGAAGAAAAAATAGTAATACTAATTTAGGAAGCTTGAAACTAGAAGAATTTATCAATTTTAGCACTATCCATGTCTAATTGGTTTCATTTGCAGGCAACGGCTCTCATATATTTCAAGAGGTTTTATCTACAGTGGTCGGTGATGCAACATCATCCAAAAACTATAATGTAAGGATGCCTTATCTCCATTAAGTATCTCCGTCAATTGTCAGCATATGTGATTGTGTGAAATTTTGGTTCTTCTAGGTAGAAGTTCACTAAGATGTTGAGACATGTGCACAGGTTAACCTGTATAACCACGTATCAGTAGAGGAGCTTGGTAAGGGAATCTCACAGGATCATCAAATGATTCTCAGTAATGAGATAATAATTTATCAGGCATGGTTGTGCCGCACATTTCTTTGTTGTTTTTATTTTAATTTTAATTTTTCTGTTTTCTTTGTTAAATATGATATCTTTATTTTGCAGACTTTGGAATTTGATCTTATTGTTTATGCACCATACCTCTCAATTGAAGGATTTGTCAATGATATTGAAGTAAAGTTTCTTATGGTTTTCTCTAGTGCAACTTTAATATATTGGATTTTCATAATGCACTTTTAAGTTTTCAAGTTCCTTCCACGCAATTGGTGACAATTAGTGTTGATTTCTAGGAATTCTGCAGATTAGAGGATAACCAGCTCCAATATCTGAAGGTAATTGTTGGCTTTATTTTGTATATATGGCTAAATATCGTGTTGAGTAACTGTATATGCACAGACTGAATCTTTAAAAGTCTTTCATTGTTGAGATGCTGCAATCATTTATGTTTCTTAACCAGCAACAGATATATTGATGGATGTTTTGTAGAAATTGCAGGGGCAGCAAAGACGGAAGTTGATAAAATCATGCTCACAGATGCACCACTCCCTTTCCCTCCTGGGCAGGTATGAATATGATTTGTCAGTCAAACTTCTTGCTGTTCAAGCTCAGAATTTTGTCATTAATCATGAAACGTACCCCCTTAATTTGATGCAACAGGTTTGCAGAGTTGCCGACTTTGAGAGGTTATCATTTGAACTTTAGGTTTCCTGACGTTTTTGTTAAGTTTTTTTGGTTCCTGTATGGTTCTACATATGCCTCCCCCACACCTTCTGTATTGGGTTTGTTGTTGTACTACACTAATAAATCTTCTTTCATGTATGCTCGTTTTCAGATACCTGAGTAGCATTCTCTCTCGGCAGAGTTCTGCGCATACTATTTCAGAGCTAGTCAAATTCCTTAACGCAATCGATTCTTGGGTATAAATTCATTGCAATCAGCATATATGTGTGTTGCAAACTCCATAGCCTCTTTGATAGCGGCACAAACGTTTGTGAAAATTGTATATCATATAGCTATGTTATTAAGTTCAGATTTTTAAGAATTTAATCTGATATTACATAGGAACGCTTCTTTTCGGTTTCATTTTCCAGTCTAATTTTCTTCATGGCTAATGTAGGCAAAAAGATACAAGTTTCCTTCGGACAAGGATCTCAAGCACATCAATCGGAACCTGAAGTCTTGTTGGGGTCTTAGTACGCATGACGAGTATGCTCCACATCTAGAAAAAATCACGTTTAATCTGTTGCCCTTTTCCTTTTGTATCAATGCCATACATTGACTGCTTTTCAGGAGCAAGAAGCGGGATAAGAAATCAAAGCACAAGTCGAAAAGGAGTTCAAATGAAGCACAAACTTAAAAGTATGCCCCTTTTCTATACTGTTGTTTCAACTGAAGTTCTATTGCGGGTTTGGCTACGGTTTGGTGGCTTAGTTTTGTAAGACCAGCAGTTATTCCATTTGCTGCATCATGAAATTTGATTTTATCTCGGTTTTCTGGGTAATTTCTTGTTCTTGTCCGTCCCTTAGGTACCGTTTGGTACATGGGACGGGACGGAACGGAGTGGGACGAGATGTTCCGTTCTACGTTTGGTGCGCCTAAAACGGGTGGAATGTGCTGTTCCACGGGACGAATTTTAGATGAATTTTCATTCCGCCTCACCTCCTGAAACGACTCATTCCACATCTGTGGAACACAAAATTATAACATCTCCGTCTCCTTCTTCTTCCTTCTTGTTTCCATCCGAGGGCATCTTTGCTCATTCTCTGTTCCGTCTCGTCCTGTTTTGTCTCGTCCCATTCCGTTCCGTCTGCATACCAAACAATACCTTAGGGTTTGTGACACACACGTAGTATGATACACTGCTGTTGGAGTTTAAACAGATGGAGATACCCAAATATATTTTCTCATTGTGCTCACCCTTTGTCTGGTTTCAGGTTAATTACCTCGATTTTAAAATCATTAAAAGCGTTTTTAGTGAAAATATTTTTAAAAGCAATCCTAAATAAAAATGTTAGTAAATCCTGGAAAAACACTTAAAGTGCTTCATGAAAGAAGCACAGAATTGGTGCTTCTTGTGAAAAGCATTTAAAGAGCTTTTGAAATCCAAAAATATTTTCTCTAAAAACGTTTTCAGTCATTTTAAAAACACATCCAAACGATACGGTAATCTTTTCATTTTTTTGATATTTTTGTTTGTACTCCATTGTCAAATCAATCTAATTTGTGGCTTGGAGTTTGAATGGGATGAAGAGTTTATCTGAGAGACCATCATTATTTTACAGCAGAAACCATCTTCCATTATATTGGACAAAATTCATGTTTTCAGTAAAGGTTGCAATTTTTGGTAACGGCCCTTGGGACTAATGAATTCACAAACTACTCCTCGATTACGTGCGGCTAGACTAACGGCCGTTTGATAGTCATTTTGCTTTCAGTTTTTTGTTTTCATTTTTTTTTTAAATCTGCGAACTTTTTTGGTAGTTTCTTTTAGTTTTCAAAAAAATGGAAAGTAAAAATTGAAAAACCAAAATTTGAAAAATAAAAAACGTAGCTTTAGTTGAAAAGAGGAAAGTAGTTACTAAAGAAGTAATTTTTTTTTTTAAATTGAAAAAAAAAAGGAATTGAAAACAAAATTGTTATCAAACGGGTTTAGGATTGAAAGTACGAGATTTAAGAGTTATAGTAGACGTACCATTGAGAATGAATACGTACACGTGTTGTATCGGAGTTTGTATTTTGGGCTTACAGTTTAGTATGGGTCTCCAGGCATCACCAACCCAATTGAACCGGGTCCAGCATTGAATTGGGTCGGGTCGGGTCGGGTTTGGGTAGGTGGAAGACATTGTTGCTCCTGAGACAGACACGACGACCCCGACAAGTAGAAACGACGCCGTCCAACGTTTCATCTCCTTGTTACTGCCCTCTGCTACACCCTGAGAAGCAGAAAGAAGGGGATTCAAAAGTCGAAAGCTTCAATGGCGTGCCTTGTCTCGACGACCCTCTCTCTCCCTCTCTCTGCTTCCCATAGCTTTGAAAAGGTAAGTCCTCAATCACCCAGCTCTCCTTCTACATAAAAACCCTAGCTTTTGTTCTTCAATTTTCTCTGAAACCACCAAAAAATCCTGTCTTCATTTTCTCGGAAACCAAACAGGAAGTAAGATCTCTCATGCATTTTTCATTACTGTAAAATGTAGAATGCGGTACTTATTAATGCTTTTTTATTTGTTATTGCAACCAAACAGGGAATAGCTCCAAGAAGATTATCACTGGTGGTCAGACTTTCAAACCAACCAATTTCAGAAACAGGTTTTATTCTTCAATCTCCTCTCTCAATTTCCAGTTATGTTATTATCCTGTTTAATTTTCAGTCATATTCGAAATCCGCTTTGAGTTGGATTTCATTCAGAAGAACTCATGGTTGTCCAAAGAAATTTGCTTAAAATCGCGTTAAAATGTTCAACCTGTCTTTTCGTATCTAATTACGCTCGATCACTGATTCGTGCTAGTGATGTATGAAACTTATACCCTGCTTGATCTTTACCTCGTCCAGAAATTTGGTTTGCTAATAGCTGAAAGCAGGGCTACCTTGTAGTTGTTGTACTAAACCCAATCCGTATGATTTGAATGAGTTTTTTCATAGTGGAATGAATCAATCAATTCTAATGTTGGATTCTGGTCACTCGGCGTGTCCACAGTATTTGTTGTCTTATAAATATCAAAAGAAGAAACTTAATGTGGCATCTTTAGCGGAAGTAATTGTACAACCTTGAGTTTTTATGTTGCTTCAGAGGGTGGAGAGAAGAAAAAGATGATAGAAAGAGATGGACGGAACAAAAAACCCAAAATATATAATTCACTCGTAGACATTTACAAACCAAGGTTTTTGCAAGGCAAGAAACCTGATATTCATCAAACTGTTTCCTGCATTCTAGAGAGTCTGAAACTTGATATTCTATTGAATCTATTTCTTCGTTGAGGACTTAATGGCCTATTTTCTAGAGGACGATGAAATACGATGATCTTCATCTGCATTCATCATTATGTTCAAATTGTACATGAGTATGCTGTGTTTTCAGGAAGTTAGTGTTTCGTTCGATAGTATGTTAACTTAATATAACAGATTAGGAAAGAAAAGAATTTTTTTTAAAAAGGAGAGAAAGTGCGGAAAAAAAAAAAGAAAACAAAAAAGGTTTCTTCTTCGATACTTCAATGGCATTCTATTTTGTTCATGCTAAACTGTCAAGCCTATCAAGATGTTAAGCGTTAGGGCATTTGCATTGAACCCTCATACATTATTGTTCCTCGCTCTGTTTAAGCTAACTGTATGAATTACCTTTGCAGCTGCAAAGCCTTCCGCCTCCAGCAGGACAAATAAAGCCATGTCAACTTCGAATCAGAGTTGTCAAGATCATCTTCGGACACCCTCGAAACTTCTTTTTGAAATTATGTCTTGTTATAGGAATGTACACTCTTGTAGCCACACGATCATATTTGGTTTTTGGGTTGGACCTGATATTGATGATGGTTGGGGCTATGTGGAAGCTTTTGTTAATCCAATCACTTGAGTACTTTTCGCTATTCCATGTTCTCTCTCCATGTTTTCTGGGATATTTCACAGATTCATTCAAGAAACAGTTCTTACGTGTTAACAACGGCCAAAATGTCGGTGTTAACAACGGCCAAAAATGTTGATGAAAACGCGTAAAATCTGTTCAATTTTGATATGTGAGGCTCAAAAACCAGCAAGGTACATAAGAGCAAACATTGGCCGGAATCGTGCGGGAAGCTGGTGTAGGCTGCTGCCTCAGAAACGTAGTCTCTGATGTTGTTATGCTGTTTCTCAAAACTTGACATTGCATTTTTGGAGTGAATTAACAATGTTTTATGGATCATTCATTAGTAGGCAAACAATGGACCATTGCGGTTATTAATCCTAACAAGATATTCAGCTTTGGAACTGTCTCTTTTTTAGGAGACTGCACGTTAACTCTAATTTGGTCACCTTTTTCTTACGTAAAATTGAGCAGCTGCAACTCACATGGATAACCCCTAAACCCTTTTATACATGGCCCTCCTCTCGCTTTGCACTTCCAAACAATCTCAGAGTTGGTGTACATCAAAGAGGAAAGAAGACAAACTAAGAATTGACCCAAAACTCATTCAGCGGCTATATGAGCCTTGAACAAGGTAACTTGAGTCCACAAATTCATGCAATTGTGAAATGACAACAAATGCATTGAGAACTGATCCTTTTAGAATTGATTGGGCATCAAACTTCAATGAAAATTCATTGTCGCCAATATGTCATCTGATATTGTAATTTAATTAGAAGGTTTACGAGTAAAACCATGGCATAGTACGTTGTTACTGGGATTCTTATTCCTTTAATTTACCAAAAGAGTTCATATATGAACTTCTTTAATGATATGGTGAGACAAATGAGAGAGAGTTTGTGATGGTTGATGAGTGGTCCCCTAGCCATATGACCTCATAACTAGAAACCCTAGGGAGCATGTTGAGCCCTAACTCTGACAGCTTCTAATCTTTTACTGGAAGTTTACCCTAATCCATAATTCCAGAAGCATTTAGTAAATTATATTAAGCATGCTTGAGATTCTATTGGACCACTTTAATTTCACGGTAACTCATGTTATCTAAAGCCACAAAAGATTAGTGGTCCTAATCTAGGGTTAAGAGCAAACCCTATACCTAGTAATGCATAGCTGCATTGTAAATTCAGTATACTTGTATTCGATTCTTAATGACTAATCTGCTATTGTGTATATACGAAAAAAGCTTCACTTTGATATTATTTAGGTTTTGTACCATTTCGTTTTTGGTTTTTGAGTTTTCATTTTTTGTGTCTGAGATATAAGGAAAGTATACATACATGGTGAAAATGAGATAAGGAAGAGTGATGAGAGAGAAGAGAAGAAATAGATAAGAAAGTGAAAACAACTTACAATAGTTTTTGGTTTTTGGGGTTTTGTTTTCATTTTGTATCCCATTCCTTATCTGTTCTTCTACATCTCTCTCATCATTCTTCATCCTCCTTCTTCATCGTTTAGTTTTATGTATTTCCAAAAGTGAAAATAAAAAACAAAAAACAAAATGGTTATCAAATAGACCTTTGGTTTCGTGGATATGTTTGGTTGTGGACATGCTAGTTATTCAGTTCAAGTTCTTTATATCATCAGTTCAAGTTCTTTATATCATCAAATCATGCATAATCAGCTTGTAAATATTTGGCATTGTTTACAGACAAGTATACTGTAATTGCAAATCTCCAAGAACACCTATATATGGTTTAGGAGGAAATTTATAAGATAGATAAGGGCATGAGATTAGTTCAGTTTATAAAATATATATAGTTATGGAGGAAATTTACAAGACTCCATTTGGATTGGATAATTCCAAAGAAAGAATTTGGATGACATGAAGATAATTTGATACAAAAACTAGAGAAAATATTAAATTAAATTTGAAAATACATAACTAGATGTAACAAACATTTGAAATAGATTTTAAATCAATTGAAATCTACTTTATTTCTTTGTTTTTACCGTTCTTTCTTCTGTCAAAATCTATGAATTGTAAGAGTATAAACAAACAATTTTACCTCATAATGCTGTCTAAATCCTTAGATCTGAAGTCATTTTGTCCAAATTAGCACTAACAAATGAATTAAAAGAAAGAACAGAAATTCTTAATCCCAATCATATACGTACGTACGTATGGCTCAGGTATTTGTTTTTTCTTTTTCAGATTGATAAACAGGTCAGATTTAATGAAGAGAAAATCGAATAGGATTTTTTTTTTCAGTATCCTTATGGTTTGACACAGTTTCATCATCTGATTACTTCTTCTGAAACCCTTAATACATAGTTAAACGCAGCTCCGTTATATTTTTTCTCATTATCCAAAACCCACTCTCTCCTTAACTAAGAAAAAAAAAAAGAAGGAAAGAAACTAAAACGGAAAACACAAGATTGAAGAGATCGAATAGATGAAAGCATGAATATTTGAGTAGAAAGTTACATAACGTTAACTTAATTTACCTCAGACTAGCAAGTAAATTAAGTCAGTTGATACCTAACCTGATAGTCCACTGACAGCAGAAGTGCAGGCATATCTAATGCCGGCCAAACTCAAAACTGTCAAACATAGAGAGAGGTATGATGAAAAATCTGACCTAAAAGATCATCTGGAAGCTTTTAAGTTTCAGATGAAAATTTATTTGGTTCCAGATCCCATCGTTAATGCATTCTTGATCAAGGTCATGGCTTGGTAATAAGGGAGTTGTCACCTTTCTCAAGCACCCGAAACTCCAGATTTGAAGTCTGAGTTTGCTCCCTTACTTGCAGGCCTCCATGACTTGTAATATTTGCCGTGTTTTGGTTGTTGTTAGCAGCAGCTTTGTCTCTTTCAGTTTCCCTATATTTATGCAAGTACCTCATAGCAGCCTGGGCATAGTTATCAAACCCTAGAGCACTCAGAGCCCAACAGATGTCGTCTCCATTGACGGTCTTGCGATTCTCCTTGTGACACTTGTCAGAAGCCTCGCCAGTCACAAAACTTAGGAACTCAGTTGCACATTCTTGCATTGTTTGTTTCGCCTCCTTGGAAATTTTGGCTCTTGGGGGAAGAATTTGCTTCATGATTCGACCCACGTTTGCAATTGGGAGCATCCCATCTTGTTCCTGATCAACCATGTTGATTGATTGATCCATACAATTAGATTTTGGAGGAGTTGACTGATCTTTTCTGACACAGACACGTTGCTCTGTATCAAAACGCACACTTGTATTTTTATATATAGATGTTTACCTATATGTATGTGTATGTGTATGTACGTATGTGTCGATGTCACAAGTCATGCTACAAGTATTAATTAACTCTGTAAATCTTTTAGTATTTGATGATACATACCCTAGCTATTTTATAAAATAAAAATATTCATTTGTTTTAACTACTAATCAAAATTTTGAAATTTAAGTGAATTGTTACTAACAAATTCCAACTTGTCCAAATATCATGATGGTCAAACTAAAGCTTAAGATGACTTTTAGAGCAATTCCACCAATTCAAAGGGCAAAAGCAAGGGCTTCCCAATTAATTGCCCTTTACCTCAAAAACCACCTCTAGTGGGCAAAAAGGAGGGCAATTGGTGGGCTACGCTAAACCCACCCAATTGCCCATGCAATTTAACGTCAGCCACGTATCTCTTTTTTTAGTGTCTGACGCGTGTATTACACGTGTAAGGAAGAAGAGTGGCCGACATTATATGTTATTGTAGGCCTCACTGCAGTAGCTCCAACAAAAGAGCCAAACGACTCTATGACGTGTCGCGATGAGAGTCGTTGGATTTCAACGGCTTGATGATCTAGACCGTTGGAAAAAATTCAAAAAAGTTACTAGTGTGCCTCGTGGCATGTTCTGATGCATCTGATTACAAATGAGTAGAGAAATCAACTGCCAGGATTAATCCAACGGTTTTAAATTAGAAAAAAAATAGAGAAAAAATAAGATTTTTTTTTTATTCTATAAATACCCAACTATCTTCTTCATTCCCCACACCACAACTCAATATTTATTTTTACTCAAATCTCCTATATTTGTTTTCCACTTTCTAAATCCTTTTTTTTCCCAAAAATAAATAAATAAATAAATAAATGAGAAGACAAATTGGTCGATCAAAGAAGACGTTGATTTGCTTGAGTATTGGGTGCGTGTTACTCATGACCTAGTCATTGATGACAATGTAACAAATGTGGAAAAAGATTCATGTACAATTTGTCGAGCAGATTCAAGGCACATCCTAGACCGAGCAATCTTTGTCGAGTAGGTACAAATATCTACATAAAACATTGAAATCTTGGCGAGAAGCCCTAAAAAAAGCAGAAGCAATTTATCAAAGTGGCATAGTCTAGCCAATGAGGTAATAACATATTATTATTAAGAAATTTCAAATGTAAGTAATTAGTATTCGGACATTTGGTAATTAAAAGTAATCATTTGATTATGTAATTTGTTATGTTGTTTAAGAATTCTTTATTCAGCAACTACAAGAACACATGTGGTTCAATCTTCGGAACAATAATAAATCATTCACAAAGCACGAATGTTGGAACGTCATGAAGTATACTCTGAAAAACAAAATTGTGTCATACGTTGGATGCCCTAGCACCATGCATTGGATGCCATAGCTTGTAGGCTACCAAGAATAATATTGTTTCAGTATCGTACTAGGTAATAATGCTATGCTTTGCTTTGTATTTGAAATTAATTTAATGGAGTTAAACAAGAAGTTTTAATTTCAAACAAACTTACAAAGTTCACACTTAAGCACACTTACAAGGCATAAAAAGTAAAAACAAATATATTTGTATATAGTCATCACCCTTACCCTCGCCTAACAAGTGAACTTGTACAAAGGCAATTAATTACTTTTCAGGAGAACAGTTACATGCCCTTGCCCTTGTCCTCCTCCGTGGAATTGCTCTAAAGTAAATCAATTGATCTAATTAGCAAGAAAGAGCAATTAATTCTTTACACTATTTCTACAATATTCTAGTAGCATCTGAACT